ACTTTTTGCATCAAAGATTAGTATCACAGGATTGCTAGTGTCTTTAATTATCCATTTCAAGCCGACCAAAGTTTTTTTTATTCAAAAACGAACGCGTATATGCAACTTTTCTCAATAAACATTGAAAACTAATGTTATGTCTATGGCACCTGGCTGACACTCTTTACTCAATGGATATGCAAATCAGGTCAAAGATCGGCCATCTTGTCAGTCTATTTCTGGCAATGAACAAGACTCGTTTGAGCATTCGACTTCTCGACTGAGACAAAGACCGACGGTAAGGCAAGCAAGCTATGTTTCCTAGCCAGAATTGTGTAAGACATTCGAAACTTCATGTTAATGAAGATAGTGTTTCTGTATTTCACAGTTCTGTTTTCAATCTTTCAATTTAACTGATAATATATCATGACTAAAATATTTCTTTCTCATGAATGTGTCATGTAGGAAGAACAGCTAATACGGTAAGTTGATGAGAAATGGGAGGAATCAAAATGGTTTATTGTTTACTTTCTAAGGCAATGCTTGAATTGTCAATGGTTAATGTGTATTAATTTTTATTTTAGTTTATTCATTTTTCTAGATAATTTAGAAGACAGTCATTTTCAAAATGGTTTCTGATCGTTGCATTACCTCTGCACTGATTTTACTAATTGCAGTCATAAAAGGTGAGGACAGATTATTTAAATATTTCACATAACCCAAATCCATGCCAGGTGACTGTGTTAGGGATGTTATAGTTATGAACCACGCATACGCTCAATGACCGGTTTGACCATTCGAACGGATCTTGAAATTTGACGTCACAATACAGACGTCATCATTTATTTGGAAACATGCTCAACCACACCCTTCTCATCAAATGTTAGCCATAAATGCTGTTCTAGTATAACATATATTTCCCGAGTATGAATATTCATAAACAGCTATAAATTGATTTGTCGTAATATTTCTCGAAAATTCTACATTACGTTTATTAAGTTTATTTCTCAATTTTACTTCGAAATAGTTGACAATAACAGTAACAATACTGCGACTGATATGTCCACAATCTCCTGGTTTGAGATCAAAGTGTCGTCAAATCAGATGGGCGTAGTGTGACCAGTAGCCAGCATGCGAATGTCTGACACAAAATGTCTGCCACGGATCTGCTGTGGCAACTTTTAACGCTTTTGAATTGTATTCAAACACGCGTGCATTTACCAATACACTCGCAATTTATGTATTACTACATTATATATCATCCTCACATTTAGCAATTATCACTCCTTTAAATGTATTCCTCCAAAGCTGTAATTAGTAAATATTAACAATGGCGTAATTTCATCATGTTTTTGATACAGAACACTTCCATACCTCATTTCATCGATGGAACATGTCTATGCCTGCCTATATATTTAGCGCAACGAGAGGCGACACAGGGACTGGGCCATTTAATTATTAGTCAAGACTATTAATTATATTATATATATTTCAGGGCAAATTCACATACTAGAAGGGTATTCCGCCAAACTGTAAAATCGGCACATTTTATATTACATACATAGGTTCAACTGGTTGTCTGGTTTGGACTGATTGGGCACCGTGCCAATTAACTACTGGAACTTGCACGTCATCAGGATACATGTACGGCTGGACGATACGATATCAGTGCCATGATGACGACAATGAATGTGTCAATAGTCAAGTTGTAAGTTGTCAAGTGCCATGTACAGGTATGCCACTAACTACATGGATTTAATTTTGAATACAAACTCGGTCATCTAATATCTATCTCGCACTATATTTAGTGTGATTTTCTTTTCATAATTTCATCGCGAGTGTATGAGACAACGTGGATTTGTATAAGCGAATGTTTACAATTGGACATGGAACAACAATAAAGCCAGTTTCTCCAGAAATAAAAATTTACATGTTTGACTGAGTTTCGCAGAATAATCTCAAAAATTTGACAAAAGAACATTATTATTGTTTGTTCATTTCAAACATTATTTTTTTTTATTTTCATTTCATTAAACTCGAATTTGGATTTCTCACTTTATTCCACGCCACTCCACTCCACTAACTACACTCG